AAACCATCGAATTTGCAGAAATTGTCAATTCTGTAAAGAACAATAACCAATCTTCAATTCCTGTCTGTCGGGAAAATCACCAACACACGTTTGCAACGAAAATCGCATCGCCGGTCGAGAAAGTGAGTTGTGTTGCGACAAAATCAAATTGCTTTTCATTTCAGCGATGCGATTTTCAATGCGACATTGTGCTCATTATTTTCCCGATAGATTGACAGGATATCGATTACTGAAAGTTTCAACGAGCCCATTTTTTCAGCTGGCGATATTCAACAATCTTTGCAGCCGAGGGAGTACGCAAAACGAGGAGTGTGGTCAAAGAAAACAACTTTTTTACTATGGTGTTACCAGTTTTGCGTTGAAAAGAACGATTTTGTGAGACAACACCGTGCTCCACGGCAAAAATCGGAATATTATTAATAAAATTTTCATGGTAATATTCAGAAAAATTGCGAGATTTTTGTCAACTTTGGCCTGAAATCTCGATCATTTCTATCAAGCGCGCGCTTACATGTTGTCAGAAAAAAATTAGTCAAAATCCGTGCCAATTTTCATGTAAGTTTTGCCTGTGACGTGAATGTGACCTAAAAGACTGCACTTTTATTGTAGTACATCTACGTTTCAACCCCCATGTAAGTCTTCCCCGTTTTAATAGTAAAAGATGAACTATCTTAGGGTCGGTTTGCGCAAGCGGTGGATAACGACATGGCTGAAAATTTTTTTCAATCTCTTCGCAAATGTCAAGATGTCTGATAGGAAACATATAATCCCTTAAAAAACAGCTTAAAAAGTTTTGAAAGTCCAACTTTTTGCACGTATCTTCGTCCCGAAAAGAATAAGTTTTGGATCTGATGTAACAAACAAGAGAGAACGCTGGCTTGCAGTAAGTTACTGTTTGTAATAGGAAGAAAAATCAAGAAATTCTAGTCCTTTCACAAAGTTGCTGGAGTGATCTTCGCGACATGCACAACGGATTAGTATTGTGCCCTTTTTTGCAAGCTTTTCTAACAGTAGAAGGACCCAAATTTGGACGATAAAATGGCACAGATTTAGAATAGTTCTTCCTAAGTCATTCGCGAGGTTACTAGCTTGCGCTTTGCCGAAATAACCAATATTTTTAGGTCGAAAATTGGAAAAAAATATAAAACTTTTTAGCCAATTTTGGTACGAAAAGTTTCATACCTTTCCACCGTAGTGTAAAGTTTCCACGTAAAATGATTTTTTCTACACGAAACTTGCAAAAATGTGGGCCAAATATGGTTTTATTATCTCTCTGCATTTTGTGCCCTCTCAAGGTTGCAAAAATCGTTGAATATATCAGTTACGAGAGCAGAGCGCGAGCTAAAACTCTCAGGAATTGATATCTGACCCACGTCCGAAATGTGCACAAAATTTAAAGAAAATCCGTGCGCCACACTTCGGGTACTCCCAACAAAAACTTTTTCCCCAAGAATCCACGTAAATTCCGATCTTTGCGCTTAAAATTAGCTTTTTTTGTAGTCAAACTTTGGACTCTTCAAACGTCGCAAAGCGTGCATACCGTTAGGCCATAAAAACAATGGCTCCGCACAAAATTTGCTCCCGTTCGAGACTAATTGGCCTGAAACCTCGGAATCCAATTGTTGCGTTCGGTGCCGTTCCGGTTCGTCCAATTACACAGATGAGTAATTTGGTGATGAAGTTGGTGGATGACGCCGTCGCGCTTAAGTGGCCCTGAAAAGGAGTTGTAGGGCGAAAAAGAGGGTAGCGGGATGCACTTTCGCGGTAACTCTAAATAAGTGATAAATAAAGACCCTTTTGCGTCACAAGAGCGGCGGACAAAAAGAAACTTCTTACCGTATACACTGGGGGACCTGATACAGTGGCAAAAAACGTACCATTTTGTGTATCAAAAATGTGGCAAAATGCCTTCCTAACTAAAAAAACTCCGTTTTAAACTGCGTGCCCTTTCCCTCACAAAAAGAGTGGGCGCGCTTTTGAAATCGGAGTTTTTCGCTTGGAGAGGGAGGTATTTTGCTGCATTTTTGATACCTCTCGGAGGCAGAATGGAACGTTTTTGGCCAATGGATCAGGTCCGCCACTGTTTGTGGCGCCCCCAATTTTCGGGGGTCAGCGGCAGTTCGGCTCAACGATACTATGGATCGCGTCGGTTGTTTGTTGTACTCGAGAGGGTGAAGGCAAAATTAGTAGAAATAATAAGAGCCCTAGCACAGCTTATCACATATTTTGAGGTATTTTACATCTACTCACAAAAATGAAGTCTAAAAAAATTTACGAATCTTCCTTTTTTGCCACAAATTTTGGCCTTTTATATGTTACAATAACTGAGAGTAAAGAAATCTAGCGTAAGTAATAGCTAAAATTAGAAAAATTTAATGTATTTGCAAGTCTCGCCGAGTCTCCGCCGAGCGTCCGCCGACCATCCAACGGCTTTGACCGGCCTCGTAGGCACTTCCCACAATGTTTTTTGGGCTACTTGGGGAACACCTGCAATACACTCCGTATCAGTCCATTTCGTGTTTACCAGAACTAGCCGGGACGCGCAATTTTTTTGGCGTAAAATCATTCTTAAAAATCCGTCTTGGCTCTTCGTCAACTGCTGTTTTTGTTAGATACCATCTTCGGACTAAATCCTTAAAATCGCTCCGGTCCGCTTTCAAAGCCGGGCCAAAGGTTGCCTTTAGCAGATTCTGCTTGCAAACAAGATTTATTCGACTCACAAAATAAGTCCTCGATTACTTGAAAAGGTTACCTATTCATGGTGGTCAAAGGCATCGTCATTCTGTTTTTGGTGATTAACTCGCGGATAATCCGTTCAGCGAGCTGGAAAGTTGTTAAATAGTAGTAAGATTAGGTTAAAATTTAAATACATATATAGTTTACAGACGCATACGCATTAATTTGTGATGTCGCATCATGCGGCGCTTTCACCATGTCTCTTGTTTTTCAGGACATCCTGGATTATGATTTCAGATTAATCCCAGACACTCCAACTTCTGAAATAATATATAGCATCGGCTGAAACTTGAAAACATTTCTACGGCTGGGAGAAAGAGATATGTACAAGGTAAGAGCGAAGGTTAATCTGTTGACGACTGTCAAGATTAGAAGCTGGGATACGACGGATGTAAACACCATATTTCATGCCGAAATGTTAATACACATAGCATAAAAATGTTATGTATATAGCTTGATAACACTCCGAAACATCGAATGGCTGAGGGCAGGTCTCCTTAACTGCCCATGCGACGCCTCTGATTTTTATACTTGTCGACAGAAGTGAAGCTCGGCATGAAAACATCCAGGAACAATCTAACACCATGCCTAAAGTCTGTTTTTAGTGCTGAACTGGAGTCTTACGGAGGCAGTTCAATGGCAACGGCATTTACTCCAACACAAGTCAAACTCTTGGAAGTCCTGCCGACTGCCGTTAAACTGGCTTGGAGATTGCCGTCGGTGGCGAGGAAGAGCGAAAGGATTGTAAGTAATTCTTTGTTAGTTTTTCGCACGAACTACTTTGTTGTGGAGCCTCAAAGTTCTCCACAATTCCCAAGCAAATTAGCATAAATCGACTCATATAAAAGCAACGTCTCGTCACCAATTACAGAACATAATCTCATTTTCTCCTTCTCGGTGTGGTCTTCTTAATAAACCTTATTCCAAAACCTGTGTCTATTCCAAGAGCGGTGGTCCAAGCGCCCTCTCTACCCATCTATGTTGACCTCTACCTATCTACGTCCAGTTCATTTGCCCAAAAATGGGCTGAAAAATTGTTTTTGAAGAAAAACGTTTGTATCAGCCAGCCGGGAAAGATTTAGGCAATGTCCGGGAAATATTGAGAAGTTCAGTAGCTTGGTTCACTCGGACAAAACAAGAAACTAAAGTGTCGCAGAGAACCGTCCTGAAAGAATTATTGGATAGCTTGGATATTGGTTTGTCTAAAAAATAATGAGCACTCTGTTGGTCGAAAATCGCACCGCCGCCGAGAAAGTGAATTGTGTCGAAAAATCAAATTGCTTTTCACTTCAGCGACGCAGATGGCGTTGCGACATTGTGTTCACTATTTTCCCAACAGACTGATAACTCGTCAGCCGGAGGGCACTAATAAACGACTGTGGTATCGCCGTGATTGTAATGATTTTTGTCAGCATTTTCTTTTACTTTTTTCCTTCAATCCCGCTTCAAACAACCTTGTGTTATAAAAATGACGAATCGTAAAAAAGAAATTTTACTTTTGATTGAGAAAGGTGTGGCCTTGGCCTTCAAATTATTCATAAGAAAAGTCAATCTTAAACTACGAAGAATAAAACGTATCAGTCTGTCGGAAAAGTACTAAGCACCCTGTCGCATTGAAAATTGCATGGTTGCGGAAAAAATGAATTGTGCCGTGGCAAAATCGAATTTATTTTCACTTTAGCGACACGATTGCTGCAGCGACAAAGTGCTCATTATTTTCCCGACAGACTAATAAAAAAGTTTTCTCATATGTTGAAAAGGGTTTGCATTATCATCGTATGTTCCAAAGATGGCTAAAAATTGCTTCAAATGCTACTACATCAAAGACGAATTCACTTTCATCTACGGCCATTGTCCATAAAATTTCGGTGAGCCGGATTGTCTGCTTGAAACTAAAAAAATATTGTTTTTTGAAGTTTACAGTATCTTCGTTTTTTATTTGAATAGTTTTTTTTGTAAGACAGTTGGAAATCTGTACAAAAAATCACCGAAAATTTGGCAAGATATGGTTACATAGAGGTCTCTTCGTTCATTTTTCATCCTGAAGTTTAACCGGTGACAAAGAGAAACATAACAACATTAAAAAAACAAATTTTTCCTTATCAAATGTCACATAAATGCAATGACTAATTCGCGAACCTCTTGCAGTTCCGCTATTTGCCCTGCGGCTTTATGGAGACGCTTTTTATCACCAAACTGGGAGCGGAAATTATGAGCCATAAAACTTTCGCCCCAAAATTTGCAGAGCTATTGTATAAGGCAGTATGATTGTTCCAGCTTTTTGTGTCCTGATTTCTTGCGTGCTGGGCAATGTGATTCAGATACCCGTCGATGTGGTGGACAATGGCCCAGCGATGGACTCAGAGGAAGGTGGGTTTTGTCATAGGGTCGTTTTTTTTCTATGCCTGGGGAAAATTTTTCTGACCGTCTTTGACAGTTTTGTGAGGAAAAAACATATTTTTTTCGGAAAAAAGCGTGTGTTTTTTGCACAGCAGAAACAACTTTTTTCTTCGTGCGGCTACCGCTGGCACAATGACTTTTTCGCACAGTGCGTCGCCAAAATCACTTCAGCAACCTTGCGAACGGACTAGTCGACAAAAAGCGACTAATGAGGTCTCAGTGAGGGCAGAAATGTGATGTAGCGAAATCATTGAATTCCTAGCTTTGTAAAATAATATCAGTTTGTCGGGAAAAGAATGAAAACAGTGTCACTGCGCCGATCGCGTCGCTGACACGGGGGGCAACTTGATTTTGCCGCGACAAAGTTCATTTTCTCGGCAATGCCATTTTCTATGCGGCTGCTCATTATTTTCCCGACGGACTGCTGAAATTATATATCGTTCTTCAGACAGACTGCAGAACCTGGGGCTGTTTTATCAACGCTCCATCAACAACACGCGCTTCCGATACCTCCAACTGTATAATCCAACGCAATTTCTGTTCTCCTACCAAGACACCATTTACACCGGTAAGCCATTGCTTATGACCTCTTTTTCGAAGCGCTAGACCTTCCGTTACAGGCACTGTGTACGTGGGAACACCGCCTCAACGATTCTCGGTGGTCCTCGACACGGGCTCGTCCAACTTCTGGGTTCCCGACACCTCCTGCACCGGCGACGCGTGCAAGAAGAAGCGCCGCTTCAACAGCCTCGCCTCCTCAACCTACCAGTCCACCAACAAGAGATGGGATATTAAATACGGCACCGGGGACGCGAACGGCTTTGGAGCCAAGGAAACTGTGGGATTCGGCGGGAATTTCTCGGTTTTAAAGGCTGATGTTGGACTGGCGACCCGAATTTCCGATTTTTTCAAAAACAAACCGCTTGATGGCATCTTGGGGTTGGCGTTTCCGCGGCTGAACAAGCACGGAACGCCCGTCTTTTTGTCCGCATATCAGCAAAAGTTGATTGACAAGAAGATTTTCACCGTATGGATGCATGCGGTTTCGGTCAGATCTAACGTAGGTTTCACTTCTACGGCTTATGTCAGTCTGTCGGGAAAATAATGAGCGCACTGTTGCTGCGCCAATCGCTTCGCCGAAGTGAAAAGCGGTTTGATTTTGCCGCGAAAAAATTAATTTTTTTCGGCGGCGATGCGATTTTCGATGCGACAGAGGGCTGATTATTTTCCCGACAGACTTTTACTTACTCGCGGAAAAAAGGACTGGGGACTCTCTTGGCGCGAGTATGCAGTGGAGGACCAGATCCAGTGGCAAAAAACGTACAATTTTGCATTCGGGAAGTATCAAAAATGTGGTAAAATGCTTCCCTCTATAAGTGAAAAAACTGCGTTTTGAAGGGCGCCCTGTTTCCTCAAAAAAAAAGCGGGCGCGCTTATGAAATCTGAGTTTTTTCAATTGGAGAAGGAAGTATCTTGCCACATTTTTTGATGCTTCCTGGATGCAAAATTGTACGTTTTTTGCCACTGGATCAGGTCCCTACTGTACATATGAAAGGTAACCGTGACAGTTTTAGGGCAGGATTGGCGGTCAAATCACATACGGAGGGATTGATGAGACGAATTGCAATGATACGATCCGCTATATCCCCATGCTTGATCTGACTTATTGGATCTTCAGGACAACCAAATTCTTTGTTGACAACAAGGAGATTTCCGGATCCTGGAAGGCGATCTCGGACACCGGCACCTCTCTAAATCACTTCCCCGAAAAGATTTACAATCTTATTCTCAGCGAGATAGGAGCAAAATATGTAGGTTCGATTTTGAGTCGCTGCGTCTGGGCAGAATCTTATGTTAGGAAAAAATATTTTGTGATTTTGAGCGGAAAATAATCGGTAGCTTTTATTACTCCGTCGGAAAAATAGTGAGCGCTCTTTCGCATCAAAAGTCGCATCGCCGCCGTGAAAATGAATCGTGTCGCTGCAAAATATTGCCTTTAAATTGCCTTTTCTTTCTGCGACGCGCCTGGCGCAGCGACATTGCTCTCATTATTTTTCCGACAGTCAGACGACAAGCCCCAAAAGTGATTTCTTAAATTGTCAAGAATAATTGTTTTTGAAAACAAGATTTTAAACCGAATTTTCGCGTCCCAAATTTTCGGCTTGACGACTGTCCGGGTCAACACAAAATCGATTGATACGAGGCGTAGAGCAGGTGGATACCCAAAAAAAGGTTGTAGGAAGTGCCTACGAGGCCTGGCAAGGCCGTGGGATGGTTTATAGACGTGTTGGACGCTCGGCGAAGGCTCGGCGAAGACTTACAACATATCCACTGTTTCTTATCTCTTTAATACAAAATTGTCATCAAAATCAACTTTAGGATTCGGACCGAGACATGTATTACGTGGGATGTCACAAACGCTTTTCCTACGGCTTCGAATCCAACGGCGAAAGATTTGAGATCGACTTCGAAAACACGGTGCTCCGAATCCGCAGCAGCTGCTACATCACCATCGCCAAGATGAACAACAACATTGCGCCCGGCATGCCGGACATAATCTTCGGCGTCCCGATGATACGACAGTACTGTCAAGTATACGACATGGAGAAGGAGCGGCTCGGCTTCGCCGTCGCCAACCATGCGGGCGGGAGGAGGGTTTTGGTCGGGTTGATTATGGCGTTGTATGTCCTACTTAAAGATCTGTAAAATAAAATGTATTACGACTTGACACTACGTACCATTTGTATGTCCTCCAACGCATGACGATAATGGTCGTTGGAGAGGCGTCCGATCGTTACGGCTTCTTGCAGGGTGAGAATGAGCTCCTGAAACTTGGAAATTTCAATCGTTTGTTGTGCATAACAGAAGAACGTTCAATGTGCGACACTTTGTCTTCCGTGAGTTTAGATCTTTTGATAGCACAGAGAGTACTATCAATCTGTCGGGAAAATAATGCGCACAAAAAAAGGAGAACGTTCGGCACATTTTTGAGGATTGGTAAGTCTGAAAACGTTTTGGTTTGCATGTGACGCACAACATTGTCATTAAAAATCAGTCTTTTCCGCGAAATGCACGTCAAATTGCGGAGTCCGGTGCCCAGAATAGACTCTTCGGTATCGGTTTCTTACACTTCTTCTTCATTTCACAGAGAAGACAGAGAAAAGACGCGCAAAAACCTGCTCTCTCGCCCCTTAAAATTCCCCATTTCTTCCCCAACTAAAGTTTTTCTTTTGTTGGCGAATTGGCCCATCCATTCATGGGACCGTTCTAGCTTATCTCAGGTTGATGTGCAATGATATCAGCCCGTCCGCAAAGTCGCTGAGGGTAAAGTAGTCGACAAATTCCCAGCTTCTTTGCGAAGGGCGTGCTAAAATTTCCGGGAACTAAATGCCCATGTGCAGGAAAGATATCAGCAAAATGCACTTCAAGCACGCCATGTTAAATCCCTTACCTCAACATCCCTCAGCATGAGCATTAGAATGCCAAACCGCGACTCGTTGTTCGGATAGGTCTTCCGGCAATATTCATGCAGTTCGCGAAGAAGTTGTTGCAGCGGCGCGAGCGAAATCTCGAAATCGGCATGAAGCATGGCCTCCCGCCACAACGCGGCGCCCACAATTCCGGCGGTTTCAACAAGATCCACCTGGAGGGCTTTGTATTTCTGGGTGTAGGCAACGCAGCGTTTCGTGATTGGCATGAAGAAACTGAAAAAATAAGATTATCAGTGTGAGGCGGAACGACCGAACTTCGAGCCCGAATTCCCACGGAAATCATCATTTATTATTCAAATTTGATTGTACTTTCCTACGTGGGATTTCTCTATATAAGGGCCGCTTTTCACTCGATAAATCACTTGAACTCGAGCTTCTCGTCTTATCGTGTGGTTGTCCCCCGGGCCTCTGGACAGTCAGCCTGTCGGGAAAATAATGTGTGATCTGTTTAAGAATTGCGTCGCTGAAGTGAAAATCAATTTGATTTGGTCGCGACACAATTCATTTTCTCGGCCTCGGTGCGATCGTCGATGCAACAGAGTGCTCATTATTTTCCCGACAGACTGACTCAAAAAAAAACAGAAAATTTCAGGAAGAAGTCTCACTAAACTCACCGCTCAGATTGTTTCGGGTTCTTGTCGTCCTTGTAGAACCTCTCCATATTCTCAACGTTCACGTACTGACCAAAATGAAGAACAATCCGTTTGTCGGCGAGGTCCGGGAAGTATTGTGAAGTCCAGTAGGCTTGGTCTACTCGGCCAAAAAAGAAACTAAAGTGTCGCAGGGTGTCGGCCTGAAAAGGTCGATTGAATAGCTTGAATATACGTCTCTCAGGAAAATAATGAGGGTTCTGTCGCATCGAAAATCGCATCGCCGAGAAAATAAATTGTGTCGCGGCAAAATGAAATTACTTTTGACCAGATGACGAAAAAAGGTATCCAACTACATCCTGAATGGTGCAAAATGCATCATTTTTCATCTCTAGCCAAAAATAGCCTTCTGCAATGTGACAGTCACAAGAAGTAAACCTTTAGAGGAAATTTCAGCTTTTTTGCACACTTTTTTTTTGACCACTATGTCGGGAAAATGAGCGTAATTTCGCTGCGCCAATGGCGTTGCATACTTGAAAAGCCATTTGATTCAGCCGCGAAACAACTCATTTTCTCGGCGGCGATGCGATTTTCGTTGCGACAGAGTGCTCATTATGTTTCCGACAGACTGACAGTGGTTTTTCTACTGATCTAACGGCCGCTGAACGATGCACTTTATTGCATCCAGAATCCATCTAGTCCTTGTTGTAATTAGCATAAATCATCATGAAAATTTCCCCTTACCATTTGAGGTTTGGAGAATTCCGAGAACGGCGGGAAATACTCTTTCAGCATGGTCAGCAGCAACGGAATACTCGATCTCTCGAATCTCACATGCTCAACGATTGGGACCTCCCTCCACACGGTGTTCGGATCCTCGAACATTGTCTCTGGGTACAGGGCGAAGAAGAGCGACTTCTGATTCGCGTGAAACGTCCGATATCCCTCCGCCATTTTGCTGAGCAGACTCTGGTTCGAAGTGGTAGGACGGGGTTCTTCAATCAGCATTTCCATTGACATAAGAGCGGTTTGCTCCGTGTCTTGAGTCGGCCTCGGTTTGAGTCGACGTTGGCCAAAGGGCTCGCGGTAGAATTGGATATCTGAAGGGAGGGATTGACAAGGGAAACGGTCAAAATTCAGAAAGCACTTGGACAAAAAATGTGAAAATTTTTTATAGATCTCGGTTAATTTCGCTCGGAAAAAATCACAATACACATCAACCCAACGTATTTTGTGAACTTTTTATATATCGTGTCTACAGACAAAAAATTAAAATATCTCGTCTAAATTTGTGCTTTCATTAAAATATGGGCCCCAAATTTTGAGCTCTATATCTATTATTCGTGTATTACAATCGGCATCTAAATCCGGAAAAAGTGGTGTTGGCAACCTACTGTCTTTTTTCATTCCAAGCTTCTCACACTTCCTGTAACGACACGCCCGACACATGTTCCGAGAGTCTGAAACAAAGCGACAGTTATGCAATGAGGCTCGGTTGATAAAGATGTTGGTTATGGTTTTTACACAGCATGCATATAAATGACCCTACCTTTGTGAATTGGGCAGTTTTGCTTCTGTTTGCACTTGTAGGTCTTTCCCATCGCAACAGACCTGCGAAAAAATGCGGCGCCTGAAAAGTCTAGCATATATTTAGGGGACGGCAAGTGTACTACGACTTTACAGCTTTGCAAAGGACCAAAAAATTTTGTTGTATTGTTTTTCAAGATTTTTTCAAGCGTGCGTAGACTTTTTTCGAAAGCTTTCAGCACTGTGAATTTTACCCTTTGCATCTTCAAAGCGGAGTTTTTTTGTTGGAGAAGACATTTTGCTATATTTTTTGATACTTCCCGGATGCAAAATGGTACGTTTTTGGTACTGGATCAGGTCCGTCACTCTCGGAGGCCCCTGTTGTGCAAAAATCACCATTTTGGTCTAAAATTGGCTATTGTGGGGTATGAAATTATTGTAGACAGGTTTAAAATAGGGTAGGTCTTAATCTAGCAAAAATAATGAGCACTAAGCATGCGGAATATACGCCTTTATTTTTGAGGTAAACACCGAGATTCCTTTCTTAAGTCCCAAAAAGCTGAAAACTAAAAAAAATTTTGACTTACAGGCTCTACACGCCATAACGCCGAAATGCAGCCCAAACGCTTCGGCTCCACAGATACAACAACAATTCGTGTTGAAGCCATCATGAACATAATCCTTGATTATAATACTCACCTCTTCCCGCATATTTAAACCGCAACACTGCAAGAGACAGCTTGGTCAATGATTAAGATTTGATAAAAACGCGAAAACGACGAAAACTGGGGAAATTCCTCGAGTGTTTGTCGAAAAATGGAATTGGAGTTCGGAAACACAGGTAAGGAAGGGTTCATTCGAGTGGTGTGTTCGAAAAAGTGTGGTTTTCGTTCCGTCTGTGAGAGAGACATGTGGGTGGACAGCTAAATTTACGTGGCAGACGCGACAAAATTGAGGAAAAACTTTCCTTCGCGTGCAAAGTCCGCCAGTTTTTGACCAAATTTGAGGCAAATTTAAACCACGCCCTTTGCTAAGACATTCAGCTGAACTTTTCTGCAAAAGATCACAAGAAACAAGCAAATCTGCCTGTTGCAATCGGGGTTTTTTGACGCAAGTGTTGGCCTAAAATTGACTCTTTAGTAAAATTGCCGAATGTCAAAGTGCGAGCGCCTAATTAATGGTGTCTTTTTGACCTTGACGTCAGATTTTCGGCAAATTCAACTCCGCAAGAAATGTTCAGACTTTACAAATTTATGCGGTTTTATTTTTCCGTTGTTTCAGAAGACTAAAATGTTACAGTGGCGGTCAAAAAAAACGGCCACCCCAAGATGATGCGCTCTAACGCAGAAGAGAGTGGTCGTAGGAAGATACTATTTCCTGAAGTCGAAAACTGTAACAAAACGGTATCTGTCGTTTCGGGCGGTCGTTCCTTTAATCGGTGCCGTGTTAAAACAAATGTCCATGATGTTCTTGTACAAATAAAACCTGTTTAAGGTTCTACATTCATTGTTTAGCGACCACCAAAACGGATTTTTGGAGAAAATTAGGTCAAAATATTTCATTTTTTGAGTTTTCTTATCAAAAGAAGCGCAATTTTGGCAAAAGTGGGCAGTCTTACACACGAATACGATCAATACCGTCTACAGTATTGCTTCGGGTTATCAAAACAACGGCACAAACCCAAAAAAAAATTTGGCCGGGCCTTAACCATGAACAAGGTCATCAACCTTGACTGATGCCTGAGGGCATATGTACAAAGTAAAAAATACTGGAATTGGTGTGTATTGATATAGCTATCCTAGTTCAGTCCCATATGGCGGCAATTTCTAACATACACCGCGTTTAAAGCAAAATAATTATGGGTGGCCATTTTTTTTGACCAGGCCAAAAGAACATATTGCCCCAGTACCTGCTAGGCCAGCACTACAGTACCACAAGCGTATAGTCGCACGTCTTAGTATTCCATAAGCTTTACAATGATACCATATTTATCTTCCTACGACCACTCTCTTCTGCGTTAGAGCGCATCATCTTGGGGTGGCCGTTTTTTTTGACCGCCACTGTATACAATGATTTGATAATAAAGTGTTTGCCATATCCGCCGAGGCACAAACCCGAAGCTCTTCCGCCAAGGCACAAAACCGGAGCCCTTTAATTTCGTACTCGCAAAGAAATCGAGAATTTGGACTCATGAGAGAAGTACTATAAGTGCGACGCTCAGATTTTTTAAAAATTTTTTCGCATGCAAAAACATCAGGCATGGACCACTTATCAATCACTGAAAATTTTAGCTGGCGCTTTGCAGTCGCATCCCAGATATTCAACAATCTTTGTGGCCAAGAAAATACGCGAAAAGTGGAGAGTGGTCACCTAGCAAAAAATTTGGGAAATTCTAGCGATTTATCCTTCGATGTTGCCGATTTAAAAGACGATTTTTGGCTCGCTGCGTCAGCCCGTAATGGACCCGCGGTTTGAAGCAGTTTTATTTTTTGCATATTCAGTCTCCAAAAATTATATAAAATCAGTTTTAATCACAATTAGAAATGCATTAATGTTTAAAATTGCTTAGTGTGTCTCATATAACCCTTAGGTGTCCATTAAACGCGATTTCCGCCGTGTTTTCAATATTTGCACCAAGCGGGGATCGAACCCGCGACCTTTCAAACGTAATTTTTGCCAAAATCCAATATACTACGCGATCTCCCCCCTGGAGTTATGACCGCACATTATGTGTATAATATGCAGAATTTTATGCTGATTCCGAATCTGAAATAAAATCCTGTGGGATTTTTGATACGAAGGAGTTATACAGATTACAATATCCCTATGTTACAGTAATCTGAGAGACTTAATTTTCAAAAAAATGAATTCCCAAAGGTCGAAAACGTATACAAGCAAAATTTTGGGTGATTTGCTCTTTCTATGACGTCGCCAGGTCGAAAATTCCAAAAAAGACAAATTTAAGCAAATTTATGCCTTCCGGGCAGAACTAAGAAAAACTGTTGTTCGCTTTTCCTTCGCACATGTCGACGGTCATTTTTATGCAAAAAACTCAAAATCGATTTTTTCCTATGTCCACCGCTGACGCAGCGAGCCAAAAATCGTCTTTTAAATTGCAGGTGTATGTATATAAGTGGCTTGAATAGTCACCATAATGTTAACCAGGCATTCTTACAGGTTTAACAACCGTTTTTCTGAACAAACTACCATAACTTTAAAAGCGGTGGATGGATTCAATAGACTCGTGTACTTATCAGTACTGGGGAGGTGTCAATGTAAATTTTCTAACACACTGCGCAGATTACGGGAGGGAAATCGCAGTTCTAATCAAAAAAATGTGGGCTGCCCGCTAAGGGTTGCCAGCAAGTGTCGCGACGCCGGCCATACCTTGTCAGGCCGTGTAAAAAGATTAATTTTTGATGAGAACTACGGTAGAAATAGGGACGGAAACTTTTGTGTCAAAAATTCGTAAAAAACTGCATATTTTTTGGAAAAAATTTATCTGAAGTTGTGCCAAAGTTCTGAGCGTCGCACTTGGGGTACTTCCCCTGTTAGCGAAATTAACGATTTGGTTTGCTTACGTTTCCACATTATGGCAACGCGCGATGCGCGCGTCACATAAGGAAAGCGTGTTTATCAAGGACTACAATTAAAACGCAAATTTCTTGCCAGAATCGGCTCACAAGCGGATCCCAACCCAAAATTTCGCTTATATACTGCCTGTGATACGTACAAAAAAGGGTTCACGCGATAGCAACTTGAAGTCCCGCGCTTGTTTTCAGATCGTACTATTGCAACCCGCTACGAACCTACAATTACGCTGCACTCCAATTCGCGCTAAAAAAGGGGTACACTAACCAAAAATGAACCCCCCGAAAATAATGAATGCCATGGAAACATGTAGTATGTATCATGCCACCAGGCCCGGTTCATAGAGCGTCCGCAGCGATGTATGCATAGAGCAGACCGAAGAGCGGAGTCAAAGCACAAAATAGAACGAATTTCAGCGGCCAAGACACAATTTGTAGTAGTAGGGATCGTATACGGACGTTGGCGGAAATAATACTTGTAATCTACGTGGCAGGCTATGTAACAAATCTAAGAGGGCTCGGTTGCAAAATCGGATCCAAATGAACAGCTGAGCAGCTCGCGGGATGTTTTTGGGGCAATATAAAAAGAAAACGTTACATAGAATATATGTAGTAGCAGTTGTAAACCTCCCCAAAATTATGCTCATGATCCACCAAGACCGCGCTTCGATCCTTGACGACCGTAACCGAGTGTGCACTATTAAACGATCCTGACGATGGGCGTCGACAAAAACGAAAGAGAGGCGGGCGTGAAGACAAAAAAGAACCGATTTTCGGTCGTATCTCTCCTCCGAACTTCGCACGGAAAAAGATAAGTTTGTGCGGAGATGCACTATTATATATACTCCACAGGGAAAACATATTGACTTGCCCTTTTAGCCCGAATGGTCTGTTGAGTAACCAATTCGCGACTTACTGTAGGATTTTGGCGGGTTTTCGCATAGCGCGACACAAACATGGCTCTCGGTGGAGGTGTAGCGAGAGGGTGGGAGGGAGGAGGGCTAATCCCAGAATAGGTCAAAAGAATTTTAAAAAATGGTAAGGGGGGACCAAGGTCATTTTTGCAATTACACCCCTGACTCACGGGTCGGGCTTGGCTTATAATACCGGCCCGGCCAAAGCAAGCTTTAAACGAGCTTCACTTTTAACGAGCTTTTTTTTCTTCGAAGGATTACCGTAGAGTTTTGTAACCCTAATAAATTTTATCATTCTGTCGGTAAAATAATGACCACTTCGTCGCATCGAAAATTCGTCGCCGAGAAGACGAATTCTGCCGCGGCAAAATCAAATTTTTTTGCATGTCAGCGAATGACATTGCACTCACCATGTTCCCGACAAAGTGATAGCAAGGGAAAGGCGAAAAAAATGAAGTAGCCCTTTAAACGTATTATATCATGATTAAATTTGAGCAATAATACTACACTTACCACCGTTTTGCTATTTCTGTATGCACTTTATGAGCTTTCATCTAACACAAATATACGAATTTTATAACCAGTCTGTCGGGAAAATAATGAGCACTCTGTCGCATTGAAAATCGCATCGCCTCCGAGAAGATGAATTGTGTCGCGGCAAAATCACATCGCTTTTTCACTTCCGTGTCGCAGTTGGCGCAGCCAAAAATATACTCATTGTTTTTCCGACAGATTGATATTGTCAATCTGTCGGAAAAATAATGTGGGTTTGTCGCTGCAAGGTTCCTCTCCTCGTCGCAATCGCCAAATCGTATCGCCGTCGCAAGCCATGATATACGACTTCATCGAGTCCACATTATTTTCCCGATAGATTTCTACTATCATTCTGTCTGGAAAATTCTGTGGATTGGTCGGAGAAATTTTCATGACTGGCGCATCAAAATTACCCCTTCTTGTTGCAGCGGCACACCAAATCGGTAGCCGCGGCTAGCTGTGGCAAGGCGATAATGAGCGATTCTAAGGCCCCACCAATTCACATGATTTTCCCCAGAAACTAATAGTTACATATACAAAAAATAAAGTAACTCAAACCAAAGGATCACAAAAATAACAGAAAAAGACCGAAACTCAGCTGCAGAATCGTCCTCATTCTTCATGGAGCACAAACTCCGAAAGGCTCCCGAGTTGAACAAATTCGTCCTCTCTTCCCCGACATCTCAAACGTTTTCTGGCACAAGCGGACGTTGTACGGCTTGTCTAGGCAACACTTATATAGCCTGGTGCGTGCAAAACGGTAAGAGCTTTCTCCGAACCAACTTATTTCCACCGCGAAATGTCTTGTCGCTCACTCTGTTGAGTGCAACACTCTGTACCGGGTTAACCCTGCTTTATAGCCACTTTGGGGCAAAATACGCTCTCGCCGAATGTCTGTAAGCCTTCAAAGGTTGTTGAGGGCTTTGTTGAGGACGCTGTACGCACCGTTGTTTCCTTCATTTCATGTTCAATTCTAATTTTATCTGCTGTTTCGCGGAGCATACGTCACGAACAAAAAAAGCGGTGAACGTGAGATCTGGGAGTCTGGACTTTTATGAAAATGCAAACAACGGCTTATAATTTTTAATTATAAGCAGCTGTTTACATTTCCCTAAAAGTGCATTTGCTCTCCATCACATGCACCGGCTACGGTCAGACTTGACACACACTTTGATTAACTTGTCTGCGAGATAAAAGAGGCATTCCTTGAAGGTGTTTTTCTAGGCTAGTGTCTCAAGAGTGACGCTCGCCAGGGAGGTACCCCCAAGTGCGGCGCTCAGATTTCGATGAGGCTTGGCACAAATTTCGAATAATATTTTTTTCTAAAATATATACGAGAATCCTAGCTCGCAATTTGCAGGAACAACCGAGATTTTTAGATCGAAAGTCGGCGAAATTTTAGGACTTTTTGCCGAATTTCGGCGCAAAAAGTTTCATACCTATTTCTACCGTAAAGGGTAATGTTTCCACAAAAAATCAAATGTTTCCGCATGGAACTGCTAAAGTTAGGACCAAAAAATTTTTTTCTCTCTGACCGACAGTTCGGGTCAACACAAAATCGGTCCATACTGGGCGTAGAGCACATGGATACCCCTAAAAAAAGGTTTTACTAAGTGCTTACGGGATCTGGCAAATCCATAGGAAGGTCGGCGGACGCTCGGCGAAGGCTCGGCGGAGACTTGGTCAAGACCTGCAATTGCAGTGTTACCAATTTTAGCTATTACTAACGTTAGTTTTATTTACCCTGAGTTACTGTAACATATAAAAAACAAAAATTTGTGGCAAAAAAACAAAGATCCGTAGCTTTTATCTAGATATTATTGATGTGAGTACATGTAAAATACCTCTAAAAAGGTGATACGCAATCCTAAGACCAGGCCAATCTTATTATTCCTAGTGATTAAGCCTTCTCCTAGCCTCCCCATTCATACAATGGCAAACGGACGCGATCCATAGTATTGTTGACCCAAACTGTCGCTGACCCCATTCTCTCTACGTTTGCACACATGCTTATATGTATTATATACCAGTTATTGGCTCGTAAAATCCTTTAGCTCGCGTTTCCAAGGTAAATCGAGATATTCACTAGATTTAAACATGTGGGAAACCATCAAAAAAGAAAAACGCGGTTTAGCGATAATCTTGCTCATTTCAAATGGTAATCTCCGTTTTTTCAAAACACAAACTATGAAGCTTTGTCTGTATCTGTAACAAGTTTGATAACTTTAAACACCCTCCCCTTTTTTTAGGTGCGTCATTTAAATTTTCTCTTTTTGCATGCTGTTTCGATATCTTCGAGATAGCATATGGAATGAGGAGAGGCAGAGAGAAAGGAAAGGTGTCTGGAAATTACTTTCTTTCCGCCTGGAAAGACCGAGTTCTTTGGAGAAAAATCGCACGCAATCGTATTTATTACAGTTGAGCCTGAATTCTGTGGACCACATACTAGTCGCGACATAAAGTCCTGAGAAATTTGCATAGTGCATTTTTGTTTTTCTGTCGGACCCGTCGCGGCAATTCCCCGTTTTTGCACTAGCGACATGCACTTTCGCGCGAGCTTGCCACTTTTCTTGCGTGACACAAAATGTGTCAGGACTTTATGGCACAGCTAGTATCTCACAAGCTTGTAAAAAAGAGTAGACATTTTGACATCTTGTCCATGAAGTCAGTGATTTCCGCATGCGCGACTCTAATCTTATCTGACGGGAAAGTAATGAACAAAGTTTTATTTTTTCTGGAAACATTACTCTCATTGCCAGAAATTGGATTAGGTACGAAACCTCTTGTTCCAAAATTCGGCAAAAAGTCTCAATTTTTGCCGACTTTCGATCTAAAAATCCCGGTTGGTTCTGCAAAGCGCGAGCTAGGATTCTCGCATATATCGTAGAAAAAGTTATTCTAAATTTGTGCCAAGTTCCATCAAAGTCATTGCGTCGCACTTGGGGTACTTCCCCTGTAAGCTCAACAACTTGCACCGTGTGTTGCCAGAAACGGCCGAAAAAAGTCGACGCGCTTTCTGGAACGACTAGTAGTCCTTCCGGAAAGTCGCTGCTGTTATTTCGGCAACATGCACTGTGAAAAAACAAAATTTTTCTTTGCACTGTGCAATAGGTTTTTTTGGCTGTCGCTCTCAAATTGTCTTTTTTCGCACAGCGCAAATGCTAAAAGTCAATCAGACGACTTTCCGGAAGGACTAATACTTTTCTTGTGAGAAAAACATTTAAAAATTGAATCTAATAAAATTTTAATCCATGCCAATGGGAAAGGCATGCTTCATCCCTTTCTACAGGGTGCGCCAATAAAATCTGGACTAATATTTTTGCTTGCCCTGCGGGCTGTAACAGTACGAGAACAAAGTGGGCGATTGTGGACACGTGTAATACGTCCAAGAAGATATCTTTAAAGTTTCAGACAAAATAATCGTCTACGACACTTGTTTTGCCATCATAAGTGCATACAACTAAGGCGCCTGAAACACGGACCCCAAATTGGTCAAAAAATGGTTGCGCTATCTTTACCGTTTTATGCCATGGGCTGAAATTTACTTTTTCTGATAGAGCTCTGGTCGGTTTTTATACACTGAAATTGATTTTGCTTCATTATGACAATTAGGCTTTTTACAGCTCGCCAAAGTTGGCTTAAAAACGGGCCCTTTTTCCCGAAAACTTCCGTTAAATCAAAGATTTTTATGTAGAAGTTTCCCTGTGTGATTCCAAACATGTTAAGCACCAGCATTGCATTTGCAAGGATAACCAGAGCCTGCCTAGTCGCCTTTCAAAGAGGATTTTTCTATCTGCTGCCTTTGGGGATGAAATAGTGATTGCAGTGGTATAATTTAATATATGCTCACTATTCGAGTGACCTTGGACTAGATATTTCTAAAAGTGATTTGGCTACATTAGCATGTATCCAGTACACAACTCTACGTTGATTTTTACACTTAAGGCCTTTCCAACTTGTTACAAACTGCCAAAACGTTTCAAGTCCCGAATGACCGTGCCTTGAATTCCTCCCATGAACTCTTATTTAAGCAGAAACTGTCCCCTTGTATGTGTGGATTTTCTTTTACACTATAACAATTGTCTATGTATACGCTCTGTAATCACGGAATTTTGGAGCAAGACGGGCTATAATCTGGCGTTGAGATCCTTAAAAACATAAAAATCCAAATTTTTGGGCCTTTTTTTGTTTGCGCTACCAGCGCCGCCAGATCGGCCGCCAACCATGATTCCGTTGGCTGTTACGAAGTCAACAGCACGTACTTTATATACAATAAATTTGAAGAACGTCAGTCCCGCTTAGCAGAAATAATGGAAGAATTAATATCCCAGTCATCATCTGAAAAAAAAAATTTCTGCACCTCCAAAAACTTTTTACTATTTTTTCGCTCTTGCAATAGGCACCGACCTGGGCATTACCGTTGCTGTACAGCACGGTTGTTACCCTTTCTAAAAGTGCTAAAAGTTTCCATTCTTAGGCCGTCCGAAAAAGGCTACATGGAATTTAGTTTAGTCCAGATTTTATTGGCGCACCCTGTATTTTACCTGTAAACACAAATATTTGAAAAATATCACTTTTTCAAAAAGCGAGAGGTGCGTGTATTCACGTGAGAAGGGTGTTTCTATGGTAAAAGCTTCTTGTTTTCTCTCGGCTGCTCGAGAAAAACACAAAAAAGCGAAAAAAGAGTGTTTCACAAGGAAGAAACAGAATTGTGTGCGCGATTTTTTGTCTGTTATTTTGCTCTCTAGACGGTTGAAATTGCTTGTAAAAGGTTTAACCGTCAACTAAAATTGTTGTGGCTATAAATTTTTCGCTTTAACATGGCATATCAACCACAGGTATAGTTTTTTTCACAAATATTTTACTTTTTTTAGTTTTTCTTGAGGGGAAAATGCTTCTGTCTATAAGAGCGACGCTCAGATTTTGAGGAAACTCGGGAAAAATTTAGAATAATTTTTTTGCAAGGCATATGCGAGACGCCAAGCTCACTTTTTGCAGGATTGACTGAGATTTTTTGTCTAAAGTTGGCGAAAATTCGCAAATTTTTTAGCGAATTTTAGTATCAAAAGTCACATGCTTATTTCTGCAGTACAGGGTAATGTTTCTACAAAAAATTAATTTTTTCCGCACGGAACTATCAAGGAAGCGGCTTAAAACTGTTTTTCTCTCTGATGCTCTCCGCATGTCGCGTACTCTCTCGCCAGCAAATATAAATATCTCCGCTGCGCCTGGAAAGCGCGAGCTAAAACTTTCAGCAATTACTAAGTAGTGCTATGCGCAAAATTTTAAATGAAAAAAAAACAGAAACGACCGAGATTTTTTGGTCGAAAGATGGCAAAAATGCGAAATTTTTTAGCGTATTTTGGCAAAGAAAGCTTTTGTTTTCGCTCAGCTAGGTACACATGTCTCAAAAAAAGTTTAAAGTGCCAATTTTTATGTATGGTATAAAGATATGAGCGTCCCATGACACTTTGGAGTACTTCCCGTGTATGTTGTTTACTTGGATCCGATTTTGCAAAGTATCCTTTTTACAAGGTGTAATGATCAAATAATGGAAGCCGTGCGGAAACCACGTGAACACCTCCGCTACACTACGAATGGAGTGGTCAAAGGAGTTCAACCACACCCAAGGAGTTCAAGATTAATGACCACGCGCATTACGTGCGTCAAACAATGAAGAAATAATGATCGATGGCTTCCGGATTACGAAACCGGATGAGGACACAAAGTGACTCAGCAGAAACTGAGTTCATAAAAACCAAGTTTGGAATGTGTGCAACCCAAACTACAACAACCCAATCTACTATATAAGCCGCCCTCGAAATCATTCGAGGAAGCGCTTCCACTCTCTTAATGCTCTTGTAATTCTCTTGTAATCATTCTCTAATAAACCTTTCTATATTATCTAAAGTCGACCATTACAAAAAGTGGAGGTCCGCACCTCGAACTCCACCGTAGTATTCATTGTCTAAAAGCCCAAGGGTCAGCACCTTAATTAATTCCCACTTGTGGGGGTCGCTGGCTTAATTAATTCCTTGGCAAAAGTGTTGTACAACCCAAAATTTGGCCAAAAAGAAAGTCACTGTCGCCGCCCTTCCGCTACATAATTCACCGTGGTCCAAACCAGGAGCCAAACACAGGCTAAGGCCGTCCCCAGCTACCTACGCCAAACAGCAAGTTCAAGACGCCGTTCAGACCTCGATAATCAACCACCCGCAAAAACCGTAACCAAGCCAGTAGCACGACGAATAAAGAAGACAACCCCTCCCAAAACCGTTGTCCCCAGAAGAACCAAATCTACCTCTGCATTTAAACAAGCAGCCGAAGGAACCCATATTTTATCAGACGGAGCCGATTCATCCCCAGAAGATCTTGCAGATCCTGAAGATTTAAATAGCTACCTTGAGAAAGCAGACGTCGTAGAACCTGAAAAGTCAAAACATTACGTTGAAAGAAACGCAGACGCGCCATCAACTTCCCACGCGCCAAATCTACAGAAGAATACTCCCGCGGAACCAGTAAGTTCAAACCAAGAAAATCCCAGAAATAGTGACGAAGGGCGACAGCCGGCAAAACCAAACAGATCCCCAGGTACCCAAACTAACAACCCATTTTCTCTATCGCGATTATATAACTCATTAGCAGCTACATTTACAAAATCCAAAAAATCAAAAACTCCCGATAGCGGCTCTACTAAAACTTCCGCTACAGATTACTCTTCCCTTTCAAATTCTCCAGAAAACAATTTAGAAAATCCTAAAGAAAAAACCCCTCACCGATTTTATATCCCTACTCCTAGGCGAATAACCCAAATTTTCCAAACAGATTCGGATATGTCAAATAATTCACCACCAGATTTATCCGCATTAGCTAATCAATTAGGCGCCATGTCTTTAGCTGCGCATATAGCACCACCTACGTATACTGGAAGAACTGATCCCAGAACTTTCCAAGAATTCATACGAGAATTAAATAGAGTAGCCACGGCCCTCAAATGGACCGATGAGGCATACTTAACCACTTTACCTGCTCTTCTCCGGGGTGAAGCAGCTATTATTTACGAAAGCATACCACCTGCTGAACGGAAAAAAGAATTAGGATTAAAACCCATTTTAAATCTCCTAGCCAAAAAATTTGCAAATACCCAACTAACTTCAAACTTCCGACGCCGCGCGCTAGCCCGCAAACAACGCGCAAACGAATCCCCCTCCGAATTCGCTCAAGCCATTAGGGACCTTGTCGAATTAGGATATCCAGAAAGCACATCTTATACCGACGCGTTCAAGGAAGAAATTATGGTAGATATCTTCCTCTCTGGCCTATTACCAGTCGTCAAAGCCAAACTATTACGCAAGGAACGCCCAAAAACCCTCCAGAAAGCTCTGGACATGGCCATATCCGAAATTGAACTTCAAGAAGAATTGAAACGTGATGGACTCATCAACGCAGGAGAAAATATCTCCATTAACCAGTTACAACCCGTCCAACCACCTCATGCCCAAATGAACCGTTTCAACAAAAATTGGCAGCCACGCCGCCCATTTAACCGCTTCTTCTCAAAATTCAACAACAACAACCGACCATCCAAGCCCTTCTTCTTCAACAACAACACAAGCCGTTCCAATTATCAACCCCGTGCCAACTACCGTCCACAATCCAATAATCAAAACTCCAATATCAGGAACCGGCCCAATCACCCACGACCAACCCGTTATGGCATTAACGCCTTGTTGCCCTCGCTGACAATCGTTGCCCTGGCCGCTCTATCCGTACTACCGCTGACTATGGCCCAATTTCAATTCTGCCCGTTACGCAAAGGAGCTTTATATCTCGCTCCTCCGAGGAAAGAAGATTGCACAGTAGCCGATGACACCCCAGTACGAAAAACAAACGTCGAAATTTTTGTACCGCAACTGGGACCCCATTACCAAGAAGCTTATCACTGCCAGGCTAAGAAAGTAACACGATGTACCTTTTCAATTGGTATCGCTGCATTTGAAAGACTGACACCAAGTCAACATCACAGTCTAACAGCCAACGAATGTTGGACCTTGATCCAACGAATGACGCTATACAACCAAACACTTTATCGACTTGACGAAAATGTTTGGCAATCCTCAGGATTCATCAACGCCCAATACGCAGTTTTTGGAAGTCGTTGCCGCGAAAAACTTCAATTTACGGTAACAAAAGGACTAATACATTCCAGAAACGGGATAACTGTATCATCCGAAATCGACAATCTACATAACTGCCATTACAACGATGCTCTCTGTGTTACGAACCAAGGTACAACAGTTTGGAATGTGACGGACACAAAAGATTTCTGCTCACATACTTCAGCTGGACATTTTCTGGCTTTAGCTTCCGACACTTATGTGATAATCCAAAGACTCCAAGCTGCCTTCGTATTCAACAAAACAGACCCAGACGTCCACGACTCGTTTTGCTACCCTATTAACACCTACCGAATGGAAAATGACGTATTCATCTCCTTTCACCCAGAATACCCAACCGCTTCGAAGCCCAGAACAAAACGATTCGAATTCAAGGAACAACCTCGAATCGGAGACACAAAACCAGCATCAACCACTTCAAGGACTACCCAAGGAACTGCCCCAACATCACCCTCATCAGCGATCGAAACCCGAGTTCAGGATCGGAATCGTTACATAATTCCCCCAGTACAAAAAGCCCAGTGTTGTGGAGCGTCAAACGTCTCCACAATTCCCACAGAAATTAGCATAAACCAAGTCATATAAAAGCAATGTCTCGTCACCAATTATCATAATTAATCCCATTTCTCTTTCTTGTGTGCGGTTGCAATAAACCTAATCTTAAACTTGTGTCTACCATTCCATCTACCTATCCACCATTTTGATCCTACACCACATGGGGGCTGCGCTGGTGTAGGAAGATCCCGGAGAACCGTTTTGGATCGGAACAACTACAGGTATTGTTCAATCGCATTTTTTTTGTTTTTACCACTGGTACTAGCCACACCAGTGTCTGTCTTTAGAGTTCTCCTTAGTGGCTCGGTACGATCATTATCGTACAAATTGTGTGTTCTCTTTATGTTAGGGCAGTAGTCCCTCGGTGTTGTCTGCATTTTCGGGTTAGATCCCCGCCTTTTCTGGGTTAGATCCCCGCCTTTTATTGGGTTAGATCCCCATTTCTCTGGGTTAAATCCCCTTCATTCGGGTTAGATTCCCGCATTTATTGGGTTAAATCCCCTCCGTTCGGGTTAGATCCCCGCCTTTTCTGGGTTAGATCCCCGCCTTTTATTGGGTTAGATCCCCATTTCTCTGGGTTAAATCCCCTCCATTCGGGTTAGATCCCCGCCTTTTATTGGGTTAGACCCCCACCTTTATCAGTGTTCCTCTTGGTCTTGAATTGGATTCGTTTTCGTCATGACTGATCCCCCGGACACGTCTCACGATCAACCTCACCTCTCTTCGGCTTCCACCGTTACCCTTTTGAACCCGGCCGATATCGCAGCAGCACCTCGATGTTCTTTAGAAGAGCACGCTCGGCATCGCGCCATCATCTCCGGTTTCCGTCCATCCCCCGAGAACAACCGGCAGATTGCGACCTTATTCGCAGCATTTGTCAACAATCCAAGTACCTATCGAGAGATTAAAGCCGTGTGCCGCACTATCTACACCTTGATCACCTTCGACTTCGCTCGTATACTCAGTCGTTTAGAAAATCCGTTGATTCGCCTGACCGACCTCTCGGATATTCCATCGTTTACCCTGAAGCTGTTCAGTGAGATATTGGAGTCCCTAAAGACTGTTGAAAGCGACTTCCGGACTGCATTGTACGATCTAGAGGATCTAGAACTTTCTCACCAGGTCCCCTCCGCCACTGCTCAACTTTATGTGAATTCTTTGTCGTGTTCTTTGGTTAGTGAGATGCTCGGTTATTGGATTGAGAGTTCCATGGACGCTATCCAACGATGTCAAGAAGCATGTGCTCGGGTTGAATTGCAGAATAGTCAGTCCAGATCTAGTGTTCTCGCTTCTCCTCAATTAGGTAACTTGAATCCGGTATCCTCGTCTCCAGTGTCCCCTCGATCCACTTTCCTCGATCTCCATAAGATTCGGATTAACAAATTTTCTGGTAAACCGGAGGAATTTTCCCAGTTTTTCGGCGTTTTGACGAATGCCTTGGATAGTAATCCTCACTACTCGGAAATGAGCAAGATAACCTTCGTTCTCTCCCTTCTGGCCGGCGAGCCTCTTGAGATGATTCAGGCGATTCCGATCGTTGAAGGAAGTCTGCGCCTTATTCTGAACGCTCTTCAGAGACGCTATGGAGACAAACGAGCTCATTATCAACGTCTCCTAAAGGAATTGAAAGACAAGAAGTACTCTGTTCCTCGTACTCAAGCTGAATTGAAGGACTGGTACTATCGACTCATGATCATGCGTGATTCTCTCGTTTCCTCGCCTTCTCTCTCGAATGTCCACTCTCCAGGTCTCTTGTCAGAGAATGAGTTGTTCATTTCCCATATCCTGGAGTCACTCCCTGAAGACATACATCGATCTATTGAGCTGCATTTTGAGCATTCGGCTATTGTGCCTACTGTAGATGACATCCTATCCTACCTCGACAGTATTATCCGTTCGCGTGAAAGGTTCTCATTGAGTCGGGACAAGGATTCTCACTTTCGCTCGCCACCGTTCTCCAATACTTCGAATTTTCATCGAGAGATTTGTGCATTTTGTGATCGAAGCCATCGTTCAAAGGATTGCCGGACAGTATCAGATAATTCCAGGAGGCAACAGGTGATTCGTGAGAAGAATTTATGTGCTCGTTGTCTTTGTCGAGGTCATGTGTCCTCTCATTGTCATTCTCCAATGTGTAATCAGTGCCAAGGTGATCATCATATTTCGATTTGTTCTCAGACTTCTCCCTCTTCGAACTTTAATCAACTCCAGCGGTCTTTCTTTGGTCAGTCGAACCACTCGTCTCCTCTGTTATCCTCGACATTCCCGGAAAATCTTGAGATTCCTCGGGTTTCCAGTTGTCCCCCATCCGATCCTCCGGCGCTTCAGCCAACTTATGGACCATCAGTTCAGATGAGAACGGTTTCCTTGCCCCAAAATGACGAGGTTATGTCCCCAATGGTGACAGTGAGCGGATTTCATGATCCCGTGAAAGCCTTTATCGATACGGGCTCTCAGGTTTCCTTTGTTGACCTTGGATTCTGTCGTTCTCTCCAATTGCCTCTCGATTCTCCGATTATCCGCACAGTGATTCCTGTTGGTGGAAATGTCCAATCGATCCAAACATTCAAGACATCGGTGTCTATTGTTCCAAAATCTGGTCCACCTGTTGCATTCCGTGTTCTCGCAATTGAAAATCTCCACGAGTTTTTCATGGGCCAACCGGCTGATTCTGGTCAAGTGCAGATTCGTGTTGTTCTCGGGCAAGATTGCCTCGCAAAATTGGACATACAGTGTTCGAACCACGTTACTCCAGATGGACTTCGGGTCATGACTTGTCGCTTTGGTGATTTTCTTGTCTCGGAAAACTCGGACGATTTGTGTTCAGACTCCCCACTCGATTTTTGCCGGATTCGAAAATCCACATTTTTTGCGAATAGAAAGAAGAAGAAATCTGTTGCTCCAAAAATTATTTCTTCGACGGGAAAGGTTGCGGTCAATCCTTGTGTGAAGCCGGATAGTCTTCAGTTCGACAGGTCATCGGGTCCTATTGTGAACTCCCTGCCGTTTTCCGCTCATTTTGAACCCGCCATGGAGGTTGGGCATGTATTGCCGTGTGGCAATAATCTATTACAGCAGCCTACTCGAGATCCAAACCTCGAATTCATCTCGATTTCCCTCCCCAGCCCGTCTACGATGATCCCTCGTAACCTGCCACGAAGTGATTTGCCTATGAATCGGCGAATCAAATGCAAGTACAAACCAAAGGAACACGAACTTTCCCTCGATTATGAACCAACCAAGAGCCCCAAAGTTCCCTGGAAGTGCCCTGCGAAGTTCAACTGGTACCTGCCCCATGCCAACCCGACCCAGAAGGAAGAGCCGGACATGTTGTGGAGCGTCAAACGTCTCCACAATTCCCACAGAAATTAGCATAAACCAAGTCATATAAAAGCAATGTCTCGTCACCAATTATCATAATTAATCCCATTTCTCTTTCTTGTGTGCGGTTGCAATAAACCTAATCTTAAACTTGTGTCTACCATTCCATCTACCTATCCACCATTTTGATCCTACACCACACCCAGGGACCTTACTACCCCATCAACGTCCAAACGCGATCATCAACAAATAATACGTCAAAAACCACCAAAAATCCGCAAAGAAGTGACGGAAACCCGAAAGTAGCTACCCCAACCGTAACTACACCTATTTCCATTACGGGAAAAACTACAATGGCACCAATGACACCTACCTCCCTTCCGCATACTACTCGGAAACAAAATTCTCCGATTGAAGCCCAAACCTTTCCCTCACCGGCACCTCCTTACGAAGCACATGACCCCACTAATGTAAAATTGGAATACCTCAGCCTCACGGTAACTAAGCTTATCCGCGACGAGTACGCAAACTTATTTGCTCACATCTGTTCCATTCACAATCAAAATGTGGCCATCATCACAGCTTTGTCAAAACTTAACCCAACTTTAGCCGTCAGATCTTGGCTTAACAGAGATGACGTTATCGCTTACCATTCCGGCGAAGCATTCGCTGTCTCTACTTGCGAACCAATCAAACCTGACATTGTTCATTGGAATCACAAATACGGAGATTCGTGCTGGACCGATGTCCCAGTGGAATATAAAAACAAAACATATTTCGCACCTCTCGGAACCTACGAACTACAATACAACTCTACAAAAATACCCTGTGATCAAATTCCTGTCAATGTGTACCGACAAGCCGATGGCACCTGGACTTCTCCCATCGGACACGCCAATGTGATGCAAATCGACCGAGCACTAACTCAACTAAACTTCGATACCTTACCTACCTTTTCATCCGCATCAATCTACCAACCACAATGGACCAGATTAGTCGTTTCTACCTCCATTCTAAACTCCTACGCACACAAAATTAACCGACTGGAAACTACACTACAAGCTACTCAAGAAAGTGATATCCCAGAACTCAAACTTGTATCCGACGGAAGTAGTGAAGGAGCAACTTCATCTCTATTAACCATGGAAGTAGTAAAAGGATGGAAAGACGCCGTGATAGACTTTTTCTTTCCAAATTTGGATACTTGGGAAGAAATCACAGTCGCTGTTCTATCAGTATTAGCTCTTGGAGTAGCACTATTCCTCTACGGTCCTTACATCAGCACTTTTCTCAGACATGTTAAACGACACCAAAAATACGACCCAGTCAACGCTGTAGAAATGCAAGATGTATCACCTTCAGCACCATGCATCGACCATGTTTACGTACCTCCAGTCTACTCGATCCAAACAGGAACTCAACCCAAGATTATCGTACACATCAAAGGCAAACCCGTCGCCGCATTAGTGGATAGCGGCTCAGCCATTACGTACTGTCGACAATCGCTTGCCAGGAAGCTACAACTTCCCATATCTCCCCTCCAAGCGATGGCTACTGCACGTGCCGTGAATGACACGACCTTCAAATTTCTTGGTCAAGTACAAGCGGACGTTTCATTCCGACAGCTAAACCTACAAATACACATGTTGGTATCTGAAGACAACCACTGCCCGTCAGAATTATTGATAGGCACAGATACACTTCGAAAAGTTTGTGCCAAAGGACACTCCGTGAATTTCGATCTAAACCAAAACACCATCAACATTGGAGACGAAATATTTCCATTCGTATTCAACCTGGACACAGACCTCACTACGGAACCATGCAAAATTGTACTTAATCAGGACGAACACCTTCCACCACGCTCAGACAACTTTATCGTGGCAAAAACACTCACGACACCTCCAGGAAGGACAGTGCTGATTGAAGACGCCATCACAACTAACGAAATGGTCAAAACAGCAGCAGTATTATGTCGTTTGGCTACTCCCAACTACGTCCCCGTAACAATTATAAACGCTGGTTACGCCCCAGTAACCCTACGGAAGAATCAAACAATTGCAACATTATCCGAAGTGCCACAACAACAATCCTTTCCAATAATGTTCGTACAATCCCCTCAGCAAATCCACGTACCACCGGAACTGGACTACATTGAAACTCTTCCCCCGGCCGAAAAACAGCCCAAGCAACAATTGAACCCGGATTTGGAAGATTCGATATTATCCGAAAATGCAAAGAAGTACTTAACCCGGTTGATTCATCGTTACTCTGATGTCTTCGTTGGAACTGATGGAAAAATTGGCCAATATACCGGACCTATTCAACACGAAATCGAGCTCATCAACCCGAAGGACATCCCTCGCAAAAGACCCTATCGCGTCCCTCTGCCACTCCGATCCGAAATTGAACGACAACTCAAACAATTATTGGACCAAAAAATCATCGAAAAATCATCATCCCCCTTCGCATCACCAATCGTAATGGTAAAGAAGAAAGATGGCACCTACCGTCTTTGCGTCGATTACCGCCAACTTAACCAAAACACCGTTAAACGTGTTCAACTCCTACCCAACATCCAAGAGATCCTTGATCTTACAGCCGGCCACAAGTATTTCTCAACCTTGGATTGCTCTCAAGCCTTCCACCAAGTTACGCTAGCTCCGGGAAGCATTGAGAAGACCGCATTCATCACGCATATGGGATTATTTCAATACCTACGAATGCCTTTTGGATTAACAGCCGCGCCCGCAACAATGCAAAGAATCATGGATCACCTAAAAGGAGAACTCACAGCTAAGATTTTTATTTATCTTGATGACCTATGCGTCTCTAGTACAGACGAAAATGACCATATTAGGGACCTCGAGGAAGTTTTTAGCGCACTAAGATCAAAAGGACTCAAACTATCACTTAAAAAATGCTTCTTCGGGAAAAACGAAGTAAAATATTTAGGATTTTTACTTAGCGAAAAAGGGATACGACCGGACCCCAAAAATGTAGAAACCGTTGCAAAGTTTCAAATTCCAAAAACACTAACAGAACTAAGAAGCTTTATCGGAGCCGTTAGCTATTTTCGCCGTTTTATCGAAGGTTTCGCCACTATAATGGCACCCCTTTACGAATTAACAAAACAAGGAGACTCTATTCCCAGTCGTTGGACCGAATCTCAAGACAAAGCATTTAAAGCTGTAATAGAAGCCCTTAAGAAAGCTCCAACGCTAGCCCCACCACGCCAAGATAGGCCCTACATAATAGAAACAGATGCCTCGGCATGGGGTTTAGCAGCAACATTACTACAGAAAAATGACCTTGGTTTTCCAAGACCCATAGCTTACGCTAGCCGGAAACTAAACAAATTTGAAGCCAAATATCCCGCCGTAGAAACCGAAGCATTAGCAATAGTATTCGGACTAAAAGAATTTAGGCCTTACATTGAAGGTCATATTCCCACCCTTATCCGAACAAATAACAGCGCACTAACATCACTTTTAAAACGCAAAGATTTACAGGGAAGATTAGCTAAATATCAACTAGCCATACAACAATATAATATTCTAATAGAACATAGATCCGGAAAATCAAATTCTTTTGCTGACTACGTTAGCCGTTACCAACCTGTCTCTTTTGTAAATATATTTTACTTAGACCAAAATACGGTTAAAAACGCTCAACAAACCGATCCCACCTGCATAGAAATTGCGAACGCAATTAACAACAAAATTTTTCCGGAACTTACTAAAGGACGTCTTAAATTATTCAAACTAAAACTCAAAAATTTTCGATTCATTGATGATGTTTTGCATCATTACAAAAAAGGGATTTCCCGCATTTACATCCCCAAAGAATTAAGGACAAAAATATTAACTGATTTCCACGATGACCACCTTCAAGGAGCTCATCAAGGTCTACAGAAAAGTATTGCAAACCTCAAAAAACGCGTATTCTGGGACGGAATGGTTCGCGACATGAAACAGTACATCAGCTCTTGTCCCCAATGCCAAATCAACAAAGTGAACCCCGGAGACAAGACCTTGGCTAAAACCATCCCCTTTCAACCAGCACTATTCCCCTTTCACCGCGTTCATATCGACATCAAAGGACCACTTCCGCAAACTGAAAATGGGAACCGCTACATTTTGGTTTCTATTGACGCGCACACCAAATACGTCATGGTCTCCCCGATGCCAAACCAAGAAACTAAGACTGTCATCAACGCATTCATGGAAAGCGTAATCACAAAATTCGGAATTATGGAACTCTTATATTCCGATAATGGCAGCCAGTTTACCGACCAACGTTTCGTGCAACTAGGAAAACACTATGGATTTAAACATCAATATTCCCCGGTAAACACCCCGCATCTGAATGGTCAAGCGGAAAGAGTCAATAGAACACTAGCCGTCATGCTCAAAACGGCAGCCGAGGACTACAGTACCCATTGGGACCTACACTTATCAAAAATGGTCTTTGTATACAACACATCTCCGCATGCTACCACCAAGGAGACCCCGTTCTTCCTAATGCACGGATTTGACCCATTACTCCCAAGTGACTTACTTCTTCGCACCTTTTCGCAACGCCGCACAACTTATGGTGAAACAGACGTGGCCATGCAACATATTATGGCCATGAACAACGCCTATGAGCAAGCCGCGCTACAAACTCACCGAACCGACGATCCGAATGACGACTCCGCCCCAATACCATCAGCCCCTTCCTCGCAGAAAACAATCACAAAAAATGATCTAATTTTGATCATCGACCCCGCCAAGAAATCGAAGTTCCAACCCACATGGATCGGACCCTTCCGTGTTCTGGAAAGTGGCCGATCAATCATAAAAGCGCGACTCCTAAGTGACCCAAGAAAAATCACAACTACTCACGTGAACAAATGTAAGCTATATTTTACTCGAGATTCGAGCCCCATCCTAGAGCAAGAAAGCAACATTTAAGCACTATGCCTATATGCAAAAATTTTTTTTATATATAGCTACATAGTTAAGAAAAGAAATAGAAAATATAAAAAATATAATCGTAACAAAAATATTATTAAAATTCCTTGTCCTTACCAAAACATTACAATCCTAGTACCAAATTCTATATGCCTCATTTATCAGAGATATAATTCAAAAAAGAAAAATGATAAAAAAAAAATAAAAGAGGGAATATGCGAAATATGCAAAATAAGAAGGCAAAATTATCAAAATAATATTACAAAAAAAAGAGACCCCAGAAAAAAATTCTAAATAGCTAAAATACTCTTCGTACAACAGCACGATATAGAAATAAACCCCCACCTTTTCTAAAACAACGTCTTACTACTTAATTTAACCATCGTTTCCAAATTTTTCTTTTTTCATTATAATTCTTTTTCATAAATTTAAGAATTTGATTGTGTGTCACACTTACCATATTATTCACAAACCGAATTTTTTCTCCTCTGCCTTCCATTCTTTCCCACCTTTAAAACTTTCTCCCCATCCCATATCACAATGAAATCATCTTTCTCCAAAATTTCCCCCCTAAGAAAACGCCTTGCCAAAAATCTTATTGTATTCTCAAAACAAAATCTTGTCCAAAAACATCTAAAGGTTGCTCACTTCCAAACTCCGATCAATCAGTTCTTCTGATCTCCGTGGCTCCCTGACCGGCTGGACACGCCCCCAGTAAACATACAACGCACCAGCACTAACTCCATCGACAGCATTTGGCCCCATTACTGGAACCAACACAACAAGAACGAACCAGACCCCAGAAGACAACATTGAAGAATATCCTACGGATAAAGTCGGAACGCAGAGACGCGTTCATCTCTTGGCCGTGATATTGTAATGATCAAATAATGGAAGCCGTGCGGAAACCACGTGAACACCTCCGCTACACTACGAATGGAGTGGTCAAAGGAGTTCAACCACACCCAAGGAGTTCAAGATTAATGACCACGCGCATTACGTGCGTCAAACAATGAAGAAATAATGATCGATGGCTTCCGGATTACGAAACCGGATGAGGACACAAAGTGACTCAGCAGAAACTGAGTTCATAAAAACCAAGTTTGGAATGTGTGCAACCCAAACTACAACAACCCAATCTACTATATAAGCCGCCCTCGAAATCATTCGAGGAAGCGCTTCCACTCTCTTAATGCTCTTGTAATTCTCTTGTAATCATTCTCTAATAAACCTTTCTATATTATCTAAAGTCGACCATTACAAAGGAAAGTACTTTTATGGGGGCTCCTACTTTTTGACGGGACATACCTCAAAAAATCAGAAAAAATGTGCTGATCAAGGATATATAAATCCTAGCTGCCCATTTTGGGTTTTTTGGCATGTTTTGGCCGTCGAAAGTTTTGAAATTCGCAAGAGGAAAGAATAAAAGACGATTTGAAAGGCAGGGAAACCAATGAGTGAGTGGCGCAGTTGGTTGCGCAGAAGGCTGGGGTTTGTGCGGAGGGGGGTTCGAGTTCCCTTTTGTGATTTTTTTTTATTTTTTGTATTTTTGCTGTAAAATACAAAATAAAGTTAGAAAACATTGATTGAGGCTTTTCATTTCCCGTTGGCTATTAATTAGAAGTCAAAAACGCGACTTAAAAACATAAACGAAGCCAAAAAATCACGGAAGGGTGTCAAGAAACACTCATTTCCCTGTGACGTGCAGTCATAAAATGTCCGAATTTTCGCCGCAAAATGTTGTGTCCATATTGTTGGACAAATATGGTGTTGGGGATGCTAAAGCCGCTACCAGAGAAGAACAGAAGATGGCGGATCGGTTTGCGTATTGTATTGAACAATGTAAGAATGGGATGACGTTAGAAGAGGAGAATGAAGAGGCCGAAGTTGAAACTGACAACTATGACAGTGATCCGGATTATGAAGACTTGGAAGAAGACGAACCTGATTGCTTGCCACCAGAAGATCAAGTTCAACTCAGTGACGGAGGCATCGCATGATTGGAACAGGCAAGTAAAGCTTTAAACTTTTACCGAGGTTCAAAGACACAACGTTGTCGCCCGTTAAAATTGGTAAACCATCATTTTCGCTATATAAAAAAGAGAAAGAGTTGGACAAACTTCGAGAATTTGAACAAACTGGGGGGTTAAAAGGTAGACTGAGGTCCAATTTTCGAACCCTCGGATTTTCCCTCAAAAAACGTGTTTTGGACCAAATTAACTCAAAAAAGATCCTACATGATTCCTGGATCCGCAGTGAAGCACTTCAAATAGCTAATGATCTGGGATTAAAAAATTTTAAAGCTAGTCATAATTTTATTCAAAACTTAAAAAAACAAACAAAAATATGTTCAAGACAAGTGACCCGATGGGTCGCCTCCAAAAAACGCAAAAATGCCCTCACGGCCGAGGAAAAAAAAAGTTTGTGAATGAAGTCAAGGCCGAAATGCAAAAATTTCCATTCGATTGTGTGCTAAATTGCGACCAGACCCCAATATACAAGGAGATGCACTCTAACCGAACCCTTGAAAGGTGAGAAGATGGTTGACCGATATTGTCAGTTTACTGCTTCGGCTTAAATCTCCGTAGGAGATGAACTGAACAGCCAGAAAAAACATTTTTTATTTCGAAAAGCCTCTTAAATTATCTTTGAACATCCTTACTTGTATTTTACAGCAAAAATACAAAAAATAAAAAAAAATCACAAAAGGGAACTCGAACCCCCCTCCGCACAAACCCCAGTCTTCTGCGCAACCAACTGCGCCACTCACTCATTGGTTTCCCTGCCTTTCAAATCGTCTTTTATTCTTTCCTCTTGCGAATTTCAAAACTTTCGACGGCCAAAACATGCCAAAAAACCCAAAATGGGCAGCTAGGATTTATACATCCTTGATCAGCACATTTTTTCTGATTTTTTGAGATATGTCCCGTCAAAAAGTAGGAGCCCCCATAAAAGTACTTTCCTTGTTAGATTTGCTAATTTGTTATGTAGCGTGCTAAGTGTCACTTCCGGGCCGTCAACGTCCATATACGACTTCTACGGCCCGCTAGAATTAATATTTTGGCTATGAGGATTCGTTCTACTTTGTGTTTTGGCAGTCTTTATAGATTTACCCCGCAATTCTGTTCAAACATCTCTTGTGGCCGAGAGAGCGGGCGAAAAGTGGAGTGCGTCGGACCAAAGTAATTTTAGACCGTATCTAAAAGTTTTTAGATACGGTGTAAATGTATGTCCGTATAGTGTGGAGAAAATTGTTTTTTTGTTTAAATATCATTATTCTCCAATTGTAAGGCAGAACCAGGTATGAAACTTTTCATGACAAAATTCGAAAAAAGCAACACATTTTTGGCCACTTTCGGTGTAGAAAATCTTAGTTGTTTCTGCAAATCGTGAGCTAGAAGTCATTCATAGGCCTAAGGAAGCATTATTCTAAATTTGTGCCAAGTTTCAGCAAAATATGACCGTCCAACTTGGAGCAATTTCCCTGTTAGGAATTCCATATCTTGATCTTATTCTCCAAGTTTCATTGAACAGTCATATATAGCCCTACCTTCCAGATGCAACAGCCATACCCACAATACCCCAACGGCCAAGCTTACCCCGCTCAAGGGGCGTACTACCCACAAGGCCAGTACTATCCTCCGCCGCAGCCGCAGGTTGTGTATCAAGAACGACAAAGCAGCCGATTCGACGACCCAAACACTTGCTGGCTTCTGTCGCTATTGACGTTATGTTGCGGTTGCTTACTGGGTAAGTAATGGTGGGTGTTACGGGGTAGAGAATGGTCGCGACCGGTCGTAACAGTTAATGAAATGAGTTATCTTTTAGGTGAGGCGCTTTGCGATGAGCAATGCTGTTGCTGTTTGATACCCTGCGCTCTGCCGAGGTTTGGCAGACGATGGTAGACGCAATTGCCGTATTTTGGTCCAAGAAATCGATGGTTTTTACATCAACTTTTAATTTATCCACTTGACAAAAAATCTCAACGCATTAACAACAAGATTTGTGATATAACAATAAGAAATACCCAATAAAAATTGTAAACCATTGCTCTGTAACTATGACTTTGGCGGTTTCGACGTTGTCGTCGTTGATGACGTCATTGAGAAGATTTCTTTGCAATAGCAGTAAGGTTTCACATAAGGGCTGCTACTGCAGAATGCCGTTGGCTCGTATTCGTCCAAACGCGCCAGTCGTTCCGAGATCAGCGAGAATTTGGCGTTTTTGTCGTCTCTGTTTTCACCGTGCATTTGGACGAATCCCCAGAGATGGCCTTCTCCGGGAAGCACCTGAAAAATTGGCAGTTTCAGTAAGCGAGGGTTGACAGTGCGATCTGCAGGGTTTTTGCCAAATTTTTGTAGCATACGACGTATCTAGGACACCTGTAAACTGTTGAAAATTTTTTGCAAGTGTTTATCGGCCCTTATATGGCGCCTGTGAGGCGGAACGACTGCTTCGAGGATTTTCCCACCGCGAACTATGTATTTATTCAAATTTGCTTGTACTTTCCTACGTGGGACTTCTCTATAAAAGGCCTCCTTTCCACTGAATAAATCACTTGACTCTTGAGCTCTCGTCTTGTCTCGTTACTGGGTTCTCAGGCCTTTTGACAGTGCTCATATATCAGTCTGTCGAAAAAAACGGCGAGTTGTCGCGCCCGGAATCGCCCATCGCTTTGCCACGGCACGCCGTAGCTGAAAATTTGGTACGCAACTACGCCCCTTTTTCGACTGTAACCCTACTCATATATTGCCGTTTTAACCGTGGGATAGATCAGATATTGAACCATCTTTGCGGTCGAGTCGGACACCCACCTTGAACGTGACTTTAAAAGCGTTGAATCGAAGCTCCGGTTCGAACTCTTCGACTTCGATCGGGAGTTTCTTATTCAACTCGAGGGTTGAGCACAAATGCGTGTGATTGTGGAAAGTCAACGCCTGATTCATCTTGTCCACCATGAACTGAGCGATCCTGTAGCCGAATTCGGTCTCATTGCTTCGATCCACCTGCTTCAGCTGACAGTTGCAAAAGTCGAACGGGACCCGCTGATTATTGCAGTTTCTCGGTTTGTCCAGCTTGAACGGATGCAAGTAGCTCTCTCCTTCTAGGCGAACCGGGATGTTCGTCTTGTTCATGCCGTTGAAGACGGTCTCTTTGTTCCAGTTGGGTGCGTTCTGAAGTGTAACGGGTGATGAATAGATCTGCAATCACTCACATATGCGATGTCGACCATTGTGGCAAATGTGTCGTAGTGGGTGGTCAGGTGCTTGCCATTCTCTCGCATGTTCTTTATCAAGTTGTCGTTGCCGCGAAGGTGTTCGGGGACTACTACCATGAGCAGAGGGTTCTTGTCTTCGGCTTCGCCCGTCTTGGTCCTTCGAATGCCTCCGAAACGGTAGCCGTGGTCGCCCATGACAAAGAGGAACGAGTTGCTCAGCTGAAAGTATTTGTATCGTAATTCAAAGCGATGACAAAAGCTCGAATGCAATTTCAGCCTGTCGGTAAACTATTGAGGGCAATTTCGCCGCCTCGATTGTGTCGCTGAAGTGAAAAGCCATTTGATTTTTTCGCGGAAAATCCATTTTCTCAACGGCGATTTTCCCGACCGACTGATGACAGCCAATATTTTTACTCCGTAAAACCCTCACTTTTTTCTTGTAATTTCTGAAAAACCGCTTAAAATACAGGTCCACGTGGAACAGTCCGTTGGCGTCGTCATGAGCAAGATATGTGAACCACGTAATGGAGAACTTGGGAATGTCCGGATACACGTCGATAAAGTCTTTCAGGTAGTCCATCTGGTATTCGTGGGCCTCTCTGCACATCTCCCAATAAAGATGATTTTTCATCGTCGCATTCTCATCCCGATACTTTTTGGATTCTAGACGGAGTTGGAAGGGTCTGAAAAATGCGACAAGATAGTATGTTCCTGCGGGCACAGTGACATGCATTTTACAGGGGATGCACTCCAAGTTGCAACGCTAAGGTTTTGATGGAACTTGGTGCAAATTTAGAATTATTTTTTTCTTTGACGTGTTACAAAAATACGAAAAAAATTGCGAAAAACGGCGCATACTTATTTCTACTGTAAAAAGTAATTTCCTCATAAAAACTCATTTTTTTCCTCGCAAAACTGACAGAGATATGGCCAAGAGAATGTTCTTTATGTCTGACCGCTCTCCGTGTTTTCTGTAGTCTCTCAGCGGCAAATATGGTTCAATATCTCCGCTGCGCTTGCGAAGCGCGAGCTACAATTTTCACCATTTAATAGGTGGCCTATGTCTGACGTCTCTGCGAAGTTTGAAGGAAATCTGAACGTTGCACTTGAAACCTTCTTTTTTACGTTGCATCTGCTCACCTCATGTAATGATCGACCGGCGTTTTCCCGAACCCAAAGCAATTCGGCCAATTGAACACACCCAATTCCCAGTCCTCCGAAAACAACGTGGTATAGCCCTTTTTCTTGAATTCGTAGCCAATGAACTGGTCCTGCTCCAAATAGTATCCGCACATGTCGTACATGTTGATCTTGGGCTTTCGCTCATCATTTATGGGCGATTTCTCCATCTCATAGGCCTGTCGGCCCATCAGCAGAGCGTACCCGTTTGGTCTGCTGTTAATCCCGACTTTATTCACATTCGGCATCACAACCGCCTCCATCTCTTCGCGAAGCACATGAACTGTCGCGGGCATGGAGCGCATAAATTGAGTGGTGGAGACCGAATCAAAAATTATCATGTGTACATCGGGCTTGGGGTTTGGCGGTGTGTCCGAATGCGGCTTCTTGACGTCGAGAAGATCCGGCGGAGTTGTTGAAGTTGGTGGCTTGGCGGTTGGTTTGGTTTGGAAATAGTGACTAGAGATACGATTAGAGATAGATCAATGTCAGTCTGTCGGGAAAATAATGAGCACAGAATTTGATTTTCTCGCGACAAAATTCATTTTATCAGTGACGATGCGATTTTCGATGCTACAGAGCGCTCATTATTTTCCAGACAGACTATATAAACCAAGAGGTACAAATCTTACTATTGCCGATAGATCTGAGTGTGCAAGGTGTTGTAATTGTAGAGAGGATCATGTTTTCTTGTGCAATTTACCTCCAGGATATCACAATCCGGCTCAACGGAAATCTCTTGCCAATGACCGTAGGTGAAGGTGTAGTCGTCTTTGGGGTAGTAGCATCTGAAGCAATTTTTGATCGTCTTTGGAACATACGATGGTAATGCCAACGTTTTTCAACAGATGAAAAAACCTTTTGTCAGTCTGTCCGGAAAATAATAACGGCAATATTGCAGCACTGATTGTGCTAAAGTGAAAAGAAACTTGATTTTGCCGCGGCAAAGTTCATTTTCTCAACGGCAATGCAATTTTCGCTGAGACAAAGTGCTCAATATTTTCCCGACAGGCTGACAAAGACCTTACCTAAACAGACATTGCGTTGAATTACCAATCTCCTCCGCAGTCAACATCACTTTTCCGTTCTTCATGAACGTCCCTTGCGTATATGTCCCAACACAGCCGTACATTCGATCTCGGCCCTTGTTGATGTAATACAGCGCCTTCTCATTCCACGGATCCAAATCCGGCAGTCTGCACTCCATTGCCTCGACCTTGCTCAAATTGCGATGAACAAGACCCTCATGGCCTTTGAAGTCTTCAAGGCGCAGCTCATTATCCGGCCTCTTCGTTTTGCCCCCAATCGTTTTGAAATGGTCGTTAATAACGTCGTTGGGATTTATTGTGACCAAAACTTTTCCAGAGCCATGGTCTACTTTGAGCTCTTTTGGCCGACGAACACTTCCTTGATACACATAGTCATCAACGAAGCTTCGGTTGAACAACAAAAGAGCTAATATGCTGGTGACGCCGAGTACCACCACCGCTCGGTAGAAGACCAGCATAAATTGAGGCATCTGCAAATTGTCGGATTATAATTTTTTGACAAAAGCGATGTTTAGAAAACGCGGAGAAACGGCTGTGAGGCAGAGAAGGTATATTATTCTGGATGGGTCAAGAAATGTGATTTTGTGGGCCTAGCGGACAAGATATTGCTGTAAACAAATACATTGGCTTCACGCAAAATCCCTCAAGTGCATCGCTCGTATTTTGATGAAACTAGGCATGAACCCCCATTGTCTAACGTAAGACATATGAGAGACTCCTAGCTCGCGCTTTGCAGAAACGACCGAGGTTTTTAGAACAAAAGTTAGAAAAAATGTCACACTTTTTTGCGACCTTTGGCATGGAAAGTTTCATATCTATTTTTACCGTAGAGAGTAATGTTTCCATGAAAAGATCAATTTTTCGCACGAAACTGACGAAGGTACGGTCAAAACTCTTCTCTCGGACCGCTCTCCGAGTTGCGCGTGCTTCATCGGCGCCAAATTTTGCTGAATATCTTGGCTGCCACCGAAAAACGCGAGCTAAAGTTTTCAGAAATTAATACACTGTCTATTTACAAGGTGTGTGCAAAATTTAAAGAAAGTCTGAGCGTCACACTTACGATACTCCCCATTTTAAAAACAAATTTCTGTATCGTAACCTTGAATGTCTTGAAACATTCGAATCGAATGAGTCTGGCCTATGTGTCAATTAAAAGCCAGCTACAAGGAAGTGAATTTGAAGTGTGAGACATCGAGAGAACGATTTGAGGTCAGTCCATGACATAAGCTACAAACGTGAGAGCAGCGTTTTTCGGGAAAAGCGCTTCAGCATTCTTTTTTGAGGCTCTGAAATGTGCATATTATATCTATTCCTTAAACACAGTTTTATCAAAGGCTACTTGGGCAGGTTTAAGCCTAAAAATGGAAGGCTTATTTGCAATTATGGCCAATGATTTATAACAAAAAGAAATGTCATTCAGAAACAAAAAAAGTAACGGGCAAAAAATCTTTTCTGGCCTCTCCAACTCTCCGAATTTTGCAAGCTCTCGTTTAGTCCGTTGGTAAAGAAGCTGGAGTGATTTTGACACTTTTTGGCGAATTTCGGTACGAGACGTTTTGTACCTATTTCTACCGTAGGGAGTAATGTCCACACAAAAAAAATTACTTTGTACCGCGCGAAACTACGACCAAAGTTATGACCAAAAGTTGTTGTTCTTTCTGACCGCTCTCCGCGTTTCGCCTACTTCCTCGGCAGCACAGAACGTTGAATTTCTCGGCGGCACCTGAAAAACGCGAGCTACAACTTTTGGGAATTGAAATGCAGGCCATACGCGATATGTGCGCAAAATTTAAAGAAAATTTGAGTGTCGCACGTTAAACTGAGATAGGCTGAAACAGTCCGGTGAGTGGGTTTGCAACTTCCCAAAAAAAGACGCAAAAAAAAGTTTTATCGGAGAAGAAATGGGGAATTTTTGGGGCGAGAGAGTACGTTTTTGCGCGTCTTTTCTCTGTCTTCTCTGCGAAATCAAGACGAAGTGTAAAAAACCGATAGCGAAGTGTCTATTCCGGTCACCGGACTGCTCAGTTTGATGTGCGTCGCACTTGGGGTACTCCAACGCTGGCTTGACATACAGGGCGTAAAATTATCTTCCTCTAGCGAAAGCCGAGGACGGCTAGCCCCAGTCCTACGCTCTCATTACTATGTTGCCTCCTAAACCTCATCTCGCAACTCCCAAATTCCGGACTTTCTTTCCAGAGCCCTCTAACCGAAAACTATAGAACAATGGATGTTGAACAGTTTCCGTTCAAGCAAGCTGGGAACACATCAGTTCAAACAAATCATCGACAAGACTAACATAACGTCCAGGCAACCTTACCGGCCCAATTCTGCTGACAACGCATTTTGCTGATGGCCGGCGGTGTTTGTGCAGTTGCGCAAACGTCGTGCAATCGTTTCGAATGTCGGGGATCGCAGGTGGGAAAAGGTCTCTGACACGTTGAGGCAGATTTCGTTGAATCACATGGCTGATTACCTGAGGAAATGGGGAATGACGTAGAAGAGGGGAATTTGCAAAATTTAACCGATTTGAATATTTGCTGCTAAACTTGTAGAAAATGGACATTCTATTATATAGTAGTATCAGTCTGTCGGGAAAATAACGAACAATCTGTTACATAAAAAATCGCATCGCCATCGGGAAAATGAATTGGGTCGCGACAAATCAAGTTGTTTTCACTTCAGCTACGCGATTGGCGCTGCGACATTGTTGTCATTATTTTCCCGACAGATTGATATAAGCTTCTTAAAACTTTTCTTCATGCTTTGGAGATCATTTGTGATATCCAACTGGCACTGGCTAACAACAAGCACGGAATGCTACAGCTGCCGTTTATTGACCATGCAACCTTAAAAATTTGATCCTTAATAAATTTATTTAACTTTTTTTAAACTGTTCCAATTTGTGTTTGAAGTAATCCAGGGGAAGTCTCCAAGTGCGACGCTCAGATTTTTTTAAAATTTTGCACACGCGTCGGGTATGGAATAAATATCAATTCCTAAAAGTCTTAGCTCGCGCTTTGCGGGCGCCACCGAGATATCGAACGATTTTTGCCGCCGAAAGAACACGCTAAACGTGGAGAGCGGTCAGGGAGAAAAACGCTTTTTTGGCCATAACTTTGGCAGCTTCGTGCGGAAAATTTTGATTTTTTGTTGAAACATTATCCTTTGCGGTAGAAATAAGCATGAAACTTTTCGTCCCGAAATTTGGCAAAAGGTCCTAAATTTTGGCCGACTTTCGGTCTAAAAATCTCGGCTGTTTCTGCAAAGCGCGAGCTAGGATTCTCGGATATATCTTAGAAGAAATTAATCTAAATTTGTGCCAAGTTTCATCAAAATCTGAGCGTCGCACTTGGAGTACTTCCCCTGTTAATTAATTTATTTAACTTTTTTTTAACTGATCCAATTTATAACTGATCCAATTATTTTTCAGAATATTTTCTTGCAGAGCAGTGAATACGTATTCAATCCATAAACAATGCGCTGTCACCTCGCTGCAAACGTTTTCGAAATATTCAACTAAACGGGTCATATGGATTGATCGTTATCATGCATCAACATCAGCTTCATTTTCACACGCGTTGCTTCAAATTGGCCGTTCCAATAACCAGTTAGCTGCAGCCCTACCTGAACTTCCTGACTTTTCCTCGCGAGTCCAGGAAGCCGATCAGCAGAAGCGATCTTCCCTTATGTTTATTGTTGATATTGTGTTCTTCCGACCCTCCAAAAGGGCTACCATCTTCTTGGGAAACAGGAGGGAGAGGGTGTCAGACGAGGTGCCGCTCGTAAACTCGCTTTGTACTTTGTTGTTCACGGTGAAGTCGTAAAGTCTAATGATGGGCGGGTGTAAGTGGGAGTCAAAAGGATCAACTAAAGTGCAGATTGCATATTATTATATAAACATACATATATAAGGAATTCCTTTGCTAAAAGCTTCCTATGATCAGGTTTTTTGCCCGTCTTGGAGCGCTCTCTCTTTAGTATGAAAAATGCTGCAGGTTTAGAGTATTTTTCTTGATGATATTATCTATCGTCGATCGTGGTCTACAGAGCAACAGGGCTTCTAGTCTTACTCTCAATGTTGGCCCAACATTTTGTGATTTTATACGCACCAGCTTTTAGCTTCGTTGCCCCTCGGGAGAGAGCATAATTTCTTCAAGAAATCAACTTTTTCCATTCGAAACTGTCAAAGATACGACCAAAACCATTTACCTCTCTGACCGCTCTCCGCAATTCTTGTATTCACTTGCTGGCAAGGTTGTCAAATATCTCGACTGGCTCTGCAAAGCAACACCTAGAACTTTCAGGAATTGGTTTTGGACCTAGGTCAATGTCTGTGCCAAACTTAACGAGAATTTGTGAGCGTCGCATTTCGAACACTTCCCGGGTTGTCTGCATTTACAGCCACTGGATAGCTGGGAATTCAGTGGTCGATTTCCAGCTCGTATATCTGTCTGTCGAGAAAATATTGAGCATAATGTCGCTGCGCCGGCCGTTAAGCAGCAATTTTACTTTTCCACGACACAATTAATTTTCTCGGCGGCAATACGATTTTCAATGCGGCAGATTGCTCATTATTTTCCCGACAGACGGATATTCGCCAAAATCGGGGTTAGGATAAAACTTTTTGGGCAATTCTCCAACTAATTAGTTAAGAATTTTTAATTTTGCCTCCATTCAACCAAATCTTTCCTGCTCCGGTGCCCTGTCACCACTCATTGTCGCAAATTTGAATTCTCGCTTGAATCCGGTTTTCTATTTGAATTCAAATTTTCCAATCCAATTCCCCACCTCCTCCGACGTTTACCTGTTTCTGTTCGCAGCTTCAGGAAGGGATCAAAAGTTCGTCGCCATTGCTATCTGATTCAGCAAAAGGTTATGCGCCCTCTTGGAGCCTGTTCCTCCGGAAATTGTCCAGAAAACCAATTACCCGCTTCTCGAGGAAACGTTCGTTGTTCGAGTGCGTAATTGGGGTGTTTGTTGTGCTGGAAGAAGGCCTTATTTTGCGCTCCTCTTTACAAGGAAAGTACTTCTATGGGGTGTGGAATTACCGGTCGAGATATATATCAAAAAATTCGCAAAAATTTTCTGATTCAGAATATATAAAAATTAGCTGCCTAATTTTGGTCTATCAACGAGTTTTATCAATAAATGTATTTCTCGAGGAAAAAATCTGCGGCAACAAAAGCGCGCTCGGTCTCTTCCTTCGGAAGAGAGCGGTGTGGCCGAGTGGTTAGAGCGCTAGATTGGAAATCCGAGGGGAACGGGTTCGAATCTTTTTGCCACACTAGAACCCATTTTTTACATTGGCCCTACTTTTAAGGTGTAGTTGTAATCCAATTTGATATTTTAAGGCTTGTCAAGGCCTCAAAATTTATTTTAGCACAAAACAAAATTTTTTTATTGGTAAAAAGACGGTCAAAAAGACACTTGCATTGTGTCGCGAGAAAACTTCTGAGGACAAAAACATGTC